AAGTGCGAGTTTTGGATGAGAGAGGTTAGATTCTTAGGACATATCATGTCGGAAAATGGTATTGCAGTAGATCCGTATAAGGTTGAAGCAGTCTTGTAATGGGAGAGACTAAAATCAATAACAGAGATCCATAATTTCCTGAGGTTAGTTATCAAAGGTTTCTCTCAGATTTCTATGCCTTTGACTAGGTTCATAAGGAATCATAGGCCATTTATCTGGGATGATAGGTGTGAGACATCTTTTCTTGGGTTGAAAGAAAGGTTAACGACAGCCCCAGTGTTGGTGATTCCAGATCCTTAAAAGCCCTATGATGTGTATACTGATGCCTTTCATAAGGGTCTTGGTTGTGTTCTAATGCAAGATGAGAGGGCAATGGCATATGCGTCTTGAAAACTCAGGCCGCATGAGGAGAATTATTTGACGCATGATCTCGAGTTAAAGATTTGGCATCATTATCTTTATGGAACAGAGTTTAAGATCTTGAGCGACTATAAAAGCCTCAAGTACCTGGTAGATCAAAAAGAGCTAAACATGAGACAGAGATGTTGAATGTAGTTTCTTAAAGATTATAATTTTGAATTTAGTTATCAAATGTGCTTGTATATGAATTTTTATTGCTTGTAAACCTGTGGCTCAGAAACTTGGTTATAGTGTGTGGTTTTGATGGATTCATTTGCTAGACCAAGTTTCTACTACAAGCAAATGTTTATTTTGATATGTATATGAATATATGTGATTTTACAAGCAAATGCAAAGTGGTTGCATTGCAAATTGTGTACTATAACAAACATACACCTTAGATAAAGAGAGTAGGTGTATGGGCCCTATGGGGATTGATCTACTTCATATTTTACATGTTATACACTTGGTTTTTGACACTAACAAGTGCATATTAGGGTTTATTTCTTGATTTTTAGTTGTGTTTCACATATTGACTTCACAGATTCTAATAATGCTATTTGATAGTTATTTTGAGACTTGAAGATGCTTAATTAGATTTTTAGGCTTAAATTCTCATTTCCTTCCTTTCTATTTGTTTTTTTTTAGAATTTATTTAGTCTTGTGTTTTTATTTTTAGATTTTTATGAGGGCAATTTTGGAATCAAGGATCAAAGGCTAGTCAACATGCTTGGAGAAATTCAAGAGATAGCAAATAAATAGGGATGAAGAATTTAGGGGCTGTTGGGCATAAATTCCAAAATTATTTGAGGGATGATGTGGGACATTATTTAAAATTAATTAAGGAGAATTAATTAAATAAAAAAATTCAAAGGATCATGGGAAGCATTGAGGGACACATCATCAAGTGATGAAGAGGCATAGGAGGTGTGACATGATCAGATCTAATGGGAGGACATGTGGCAGCTGATTGGGAGCCTAAGGAGGAGTCAAATTTCCCACACATGTTCACATGTCCCTTGCCACATTTTCCACCTCATTTTTATTCCCATTTTAGCTTATTTTCATCTATTTTTCTAGCTCATTTTAGATCTAGACATTCCTTGTTTTTATCACTATCCACTTTGGTCTTATCACTACTCACATTTTCCACACATACTTAATCCTTTATTTTTCATTTGAGCTTCATTATTCTTCACCTTTACTTGTTAGATTTTTCTAGATTTTTCTCTCTTCTTCTTCATTCATTTTCGTCCAATACTATTCATTCATTTTTGGGGTTTCATTTCTTCATCTTCCATCATCAACACTTCATCCAAATCATTATTCCTTCTCTACTCATATTTTTATCCACTTTCTTCTCTATTCTAGCTTGCATTTTCGTCCATCTCTTGTCTAGATTTTCAGATTGCAACTTCTTCATCTTCATTCATCCATGAAAGCTTCTCAAGCTCAAGAACTCAACCAAGTGACGGAGAGGAGCATGAGTGGATGATCATTTAAAGCTCTAAGAAAGATGAACTTGTGATTTGAGATTTTTAGATTTGTTTTCCTCATTTGTATTTTCAATTCTACAATTTCTTTTACCCTTCTAATGGATTCGAATTTTAGTGGCTGTTATGTTAGTGATTTTTGATTCCATTTCCTTTTTAAATCCATGTATGTTTATATGAATTTGGTTTGAGAGGTTTTTCTACCACTTGATTTGGTCTGAATTTAATGGCTATAAACAAGGCTGAATTACATTGTTAATTTCACTCCACTTGGCTTAGATTCATAGTGATCATTAGATGTAAAGTTACACAACCTTTAAAGGTTTTAGAGTATTCTTCATTAAGCTAATTGTCATTACATATGTGATTGCAATTCTGGAATTCAAGAATTATCACAAGGGATTCTAACTTGAGCTCATCATCTCATTCATTTACATCAACATATTTAAATCAATTACAAACATTTAATTCTTGCATTTTAGACATAGCTAAAACATATCACCATTCCTTTAATTTGTAGGCAATTAAGCCATAGTTTGTGTGCATTGCTCTCTTAGGAGATGACCTAGAATGCTCATACCTATATTCTAGTTTTATTTAATGGCCTGAAGTGACTTAGGATCCCATCAGGGATCTCTAAACCAAGTAAAAATATTTAGAATGTATATTTATATAAGTATATGGTGTTTGGATTAGTTTTAACCATTCTTATATATGTGATTTGTGCATTTTAGTGGCTTAGGGTCCATTTTAGAAAATGGCACCTGTGTGGTCAAATTTTGGTATAAGGGGTTTTCCTATCATTTGAATTTTCTATTTAATACTCCTAGTCCTATTTGATATGTCCAAAGTGTTTCTACAAGTTTGTGACCCTTATGATGAGATTTGGATAATTTTGAAAATGGTTTTTACTTGAAAGCTGTACTTTTTTATTTGGGTGTCTAAATTTCAATCCAACTATAGGATTTTCCTGAAATTTGGTTCACAAGTAAAATTTTTTATAATATTCAAGTGAGTTTTAGAATCACTTTGATCAAACTTCAAATGGAGAAACAGTACACTCCAGAAGTTGGTCTAACGATGCTATCATGATAGCAATATAATGCTTTCATGACATCAACAATTGCTGAGGTTAGGACCATTGGGTCTTTTTGAAATTTCGTACACTTTTCTTATTCTTTAAATATGACATGTGGGCTCTAGAATTGCCACAATCAAAGGTTGAATGACAAAATGGTGCACTCTAAAAATTGGTCCAAAGGTGATGTCATGACAGTAAAAATGCCAAACTTAAAACATCTCTAAATTTTAATCCAACCGTTGGATCTTTTTAAAATTTAAAACACTATTAGTACTCTTGAAAAGTGATATGTGAGCTTTGAAATCACTTTAATCAGAGCTAGATGGTGAATCAGCACCCCTAAAATTTTGCCTTAAAGGGTTGTTATGATAGCATATTAATTGCCCCTATTTGCCTAATTTGCTTTTGTGCGCTATATAGTAATCCTATAAACTTTTCTAAGAGATTTTAAGTGTTTTTTTTGCTATTGTATAGTTTTTTTGGAAATTTACATGGTTTGTTTCCTAAGTTAGTTTTAGGATCAACTTCTTAACCACACTTAGATGATTTGGTTGTGGTGTGTTTTTATTGACACTCGAGGCAAGTGTTACACAGTACATCTAAAAATATATCAATTTAAATATAATAGTAAGTTTCTATCATTTAGGTCTCTTAGTTTGTTTTCTAATAAGAACTACATCTTGAGCCAGCTTTGGGCTTCACAACATGGGGTGTATCTAGTTTAATTAGTGGGCATTCTAGTTGACCAGATCTTTAATTTGAATTTATATGCATATCAACATTTATAAATCATGAGGATCAAATGGCAAATATTTATTTATTGGAAGCTTTGCAACCAAACCATACATAAAATTAAAATGAAATTCCTAGTAGTGTCGCTGAGCTTACTTTTAGAGCTAAACACTATGATGGACTCAAACCTTATCAAAGATTGCCTAGAAACCTCCGCACAAAGCTTAGGCACATTTTTTTATATTCTATTCTCATGGGTATTAGCACTGTTAAGGTGTTATCCAAATAAGATTGTAATTAATCTCATTATTAATTGCAAATTTAAAACTATTAAACCATTTGATATGGATTATTGATGGGCCTTGAGAGAGAGATAGCTCTGTGTTATACTTATATATATATATATATATATCCTTGTGTAAGTGTTCAATAATTGGTACAATAGTATAGATTCTTTTGTTTTTGTTTTTGTTAGAATTTGAATATGCTGTAAATTCTCCAACAATTATTATAAATTCCATTTTATAATTAGATAAAAATTAAGTGTTGTTTTACTTAAAAAATTAGTCAAAGTTAAATTAAGAATGATCAATTATTTATTTTTAGGAACAAGGAAATATCTACAGAAAATGACTTAGGAAAAAAAGGACAAATATATTAAAAACTAGACCAATCATTAAATCATTAAATCAATTGAGCCATATTATTTTACAATCTAGTGGTCAAATAATAATCAAACTGTACTAGTAAATTTTATATTCTTAATTTTTCTATATATTAACTGTAACACTTGCCCCGAGTGTTATCCAAAAATCACACAATTCAAATAAACTAAGTGTGGTTAAGGAGTTAATCCTAAAACCAACTTAGGAAACAAACCATTTAAATCACTAAGCAAATATACGATTGCAAAGTAAACATTTAAAACCTTAAAAAAAATTATAGGTTCTAACTATAGCGCACGAAAGCAAGTTAGACGAAAGAGAAATAAAAAGATACTGTCATGACAGCATTTAAATTGCTGTCATGACAGCCCTCTCGAGTCAACTTTTGGGAGGCGTCGTTCCGCCATCCGACCTTCCGATCGAAGTGATTTTAAAGCTCACACGTCATATTCAAAGGGTACTATAAGTATACCAAATTTTAAAAAGATCCAACGGTCAGATTTAAAATTAGACATGTTAAAAATTTGATTATTTTTGCTGTCATGACAGCCCATAGCACACCATTTGCAATGCAACCACTTTGCATTTGCTTATAAAATCACATATATATCAAAATAAAGATCTGCTTGTAATAGAAACTTGGTCTACTAAGTAAATCCATCAAAACCACACACCATAACCAAGTTTCCTAGCCACAAGTCTGCAAACAGACAAAAATTCATACACAAGCACACAATCCACACATATTCACACACACACACATAATCATATCCTACTGGCACCCTAATCTTAAATACATTACAATATATTTGCTCAAAAGAAAGGGGTTGCAGTTCTTTACAAATCACAAGCAAACCCCTAGCTTTGCTCCTTTCCCCGTCCACCACTGGATCCTTCGCCTGGACCTAGAATATTGAAAAGAAAGGGGTGAGACAACCACAGTCTCAGTAATAGTGAAATTTACATTGATTATTACAAAGTAAGCCATAATCAAATAAATGAATAATAAATTCAACATAGTATATAATTTAGCCATTTAAAATGCATGAATGCATGACCTAGGCCGGTATGGCCTTTCATGACCAACAGAATGCCCCCTGGCACTCTTTAACTCGCAGGTAAACCTTATACCTACTTGTACCTCCACAGGCACAAAACATAATCTAAGGCATGATCTAATCCACCGAACCGCCTATGCCCCTTCGACGTGAATCCTGAGCAGTCAAAGCTAACTCCCTCCCAAAGCCAGCCCGACTTACTCTCCATGTGAGGGCTACCTTGGCCTAGGCACTCAACCTCACACTTCATATGTCGGATTCCCTCCCCCACTGAGAGGTGTCGAACACTCAATACACTAACCACTTTAGTGCACTGAGCCCACAATACGTAAGACAACACTGAGTACTGACAGTATGCCATAGAATATCAAAATCCACACCTTCTCATTGGTGAACTCCCACCGAGATCATGCCTTTTACTCTTGTCTACCTTTCCTGAGTATTGACCATTCAACACTCTAAAGTAGTATAATATTTATAAATTCATTTCCATAAAAACATTGTTATTAAACAATTAGAAAACATATTTGCACTATAATCAAAGTAGTACCCCATAACCCCTTATAAAGCACATTTAATCTTTTAAAACATGTAATGCATGATAACTAGTAATATTTATTCAAAAATAGCTAAAACAAAGTAATAAGAAATATAAATTCCCCTGTTACCTCAACCCTTTGGTACTAAAAGGGTTCCCCTTGTACAAAATAGGGCTCGGCTTGTTCCTTACTTCTCAATAAGTTCCACCAACAATTTTCTACAACATATAAGTGATCCACATCACTTATCATGACAAATAGCATTAATGAAGACTATAACTCATACCACACAACTTAGGTCAATGAGTCATAATCCACCCTAATGGTCCATATATTAAACCAACCATTCACATAGTATCACTTAACCACCAAAACCATTTATTAGCCATCACTAGGCTAATTTTGAATTTATATAATTTTTTAATCAATTAAAAACCTTTACTTAGTGCCACCAACTTTCACCATTAGCCCTTATAATGAAAACCAAACCTTAATTTAAATCTTATTGGGCTCAAATAGCAAAATTATAACTAAATCAATAGGCTTAAACCATTGAGGAGCAAAAACCCAATTTCTCAAGGTTTATTTTGTGCCCAAAACACCTCTTTTCATCCAATTATTCACTCAAAACATTAGATCACTATATAGAAACTCAAAACATGCTCCCTAGAATCCAAAGAAACAAAAGCTTACAAGAATAAAGCCTTTGGGATCAAAATCCAAAAATTTTCTCTTCCAAAAATTGAAGAAAATCAAGAGAAAGAGAAGAGGATTGAAGTAGGGAGTTTACCTATCATGTAGCCGAGCTCGCAACGGTCGCAAAGACTCCTAGATCCAAGCCTAACTCCCTCCCTTTCTCTTCTCTTCTTCCTCTCTCCCTCTCATACGTTTCCTTTCCTTTCCTTTCCAATTCAATTTCTGCATTTCTGCATCAATTTTGGTCTTTAAATTGCTGGTCAAAAATTTTGGGGAAAATTACAAGAAAGGGCCCAACATTTTTTTATTATTGCACAAAAGCCCGGGTCAACTTTGGTAATTTTTCCATAGTTAAAAATCAAATAAAACCAAACTTTTGCTTAGTAAAATTCAAACTCTGGGCCTCTATTAAATTATTCTAAATTTTAATTTAATTATATATATTTTATTTTATTTTTATTTATTTTTTTAAATAAATTTGAGTCTTAAAATTTTTAGGATGTTACATTAACACTACTACAAAACTTTTAATATAGGACTCCTTATATAGGATGGTTGAATACAAAATTATCCTATATAAGCAAGTAATGGTAAGGCACGTGGTATGTTGATAGGCATATAGGAGGGTTGTTAATAAAACTGTCCTATATAATTTAATAATATAGGAGGGTTCATCCTAAAACTGCCCTATATTTGTTTTTTTAATTAAAAAATTGATTTTTTTAAAATGTGAACAAATAAAGGGCGGTTTTTGCAAGGAACCGTCCTCTATATCATCACATTATATGAACTGTCTTATATTATTTTTCATCCTTAAAACCCATTAATTTTTGAATATAACTAGAGCCAAAAGAGAAATGAAATCTTAAAACCTCTCACGCGCTCATCTTTTTCAAACCTAAAACCTCATCTTATTCTATGAAATCCCAAAACACAGAACCTAAATCTTATTTCTTCATTTTTTTGATGAAATCCCAAACCCAAAACCTACTCGCAAATGCTATTATTACTTCTTCAACTTCACAACAGAATTGGGCATTTAGAGTTGTTCATAGTTGTAAGCTTCTTTCTATGTCTCTTATTTGATGTTTCCTTGTATTTGTGCATTCTCTATGTCTCTCTGTGTTCAAATTAAAGGTTGAGATGAGATTTAGAGGAGATTAGAGTTTAGATTTATTGTTTTAGCATTATGCACATGAGATGTTCAATAAAATGTTTGAAAGGAGAGAAGTATTAGGAAATAGAAAATTTAATAATTAAAAGTATATGGATGAGCTTATTTTGATGCTGACCTAAGCATTCATACAATTAGACAACTTGTTTAATAACTTTGGATTTTAAATTGTTTAATAGCAAAGTTGTATTTTGCTAATATCACTGCAATCATATATATATATATATTTTGTTTCGCACTCTAGTTTTATTGCATTTCCATATAGTGCAGCACCTTATATGCATCTACTTCCTATCATAAAACATTAGTACTTAGCTTATAAATGGTTTGTCACTTGTGATGAGATTTGTTATGTTCGGTGGTTTGTTTATGCTACAGAAATATGCATAAATTCTTTGACATATTTCAAGACATTTCTCATTTTTATATATGAATATTACAACTAAGTAAAATTCACAATCCAAAAATTTATCCTTTAGATTGACAACTTGTATAGCAATTTGAGAATTAGGTTTATACATCCCTTCAAGTTAGTTTTGAACTAGACTCTCTTGAAGTTGATAAAACCTAACTCAACCCCTTTAGATTTATGAAAATTAAACTAAACACCTCTCATATTTTAAGTTTTCATATCTTTGTATTATGCTCCCTTATCACATAATGAGCTTGTAATATATACTATATTTCCTCTTAGTTATAATATTAACCTCTAAGGAACCAAGAATTTTCAATACATTCACTTTCGACCCATGGTTGGTTTTCGAAATTTACTCTTCTCAAACTATTCATCTTAATATTCTTCTATTCATATAGTATCATTTACTATTGATCTTTTACTCATTAACATACCCAACCCTTTAATGATTGTGCAAGCTATTAGCCTAAATGAGCTTTAATTTAATTAAAAGTAATTTTAGAAATTTTTAAAATAATTAATGTCATTAGTGTTAACTAATTTTTCTAATATATGCACAAGACTTTCATTCTCTTCCATTCATATCATGCATTAACAATCAAAGTAGAAAATATTCTCATCAACATATATATGACATCATATATTTACATTAAAACATGATTGGTCACTTACATTCCTATAACATGGTTATTGTTGTTGTTATTAGTAATTGAGTTGGGTTAAAATTAGATTGTATAGGGATGAATTTAAGTATGAAGAGAGGGCTAAGTGCCTAGGAAAGTTTCAATTTTAAGTTGTTATAGTGTTGAATTTTTATTTAAGAGTACTAACAACTAGTTAGTACTTTAAAATGAAAATTGTGGCTTATTAGACAACTAAAAGAACTTCAAGTCAAAATATAGTTAAATTTATTTTTAATAGTAGGGATTTTTTAATTAAGGATCCCCAGTATTTTTAATCAAGTAGCTCATGAGTAATGCATTGATGAGTTAATAGTTAATTAATTTATTATCTTGCACTTACAATGATTAAGCCACTCATCACATTTCCCTCAACATTTTTTGATAGATCTGAGATTATAGATAAAGAATGGATGTCTATAGATAGACAATTGAGGGAATATATTGTAGGGGTAAGCCACTATATTAAAGTTGGTGTTAAATATGAGGGAGATATTAAGGGCATCATGTGCCCTTGTCTAAGATGTATTTCTTGCTCACATTCTTTGACATAATGATTCACTTGACTATTCAATTGGTTAGGGAGGTTGAAAAGTGTGGCCTAGCTTATTTAAGATGGATTTACCCTATTGAGCATATATAAAGGTTCTAAAGGGTATGTGAAAAATTAAGTTGACGTGAGGGTTGTATTATTGAAAGGTATATAGGTGAAAAGGCAATTGAATTTTGTTAAAAGTAGTTAAAAGATGGAAAAAATGTTGGGCTTCCAGTGGATAGGCATGTGGGAAGGGAAGATGGGGAAGGGATAATTAGAAAGAAATTAATCACTATATCACAAAACCATTAAGAGAAAACATACCTTTTTGTATTGCATAACTCGAATGGCATTCTCGAGTATGTTGACAAGCACAATGCTAAACTTAGGAAGGGCAATCCTGAAAGAAATGACATTGCAATTGTAAAACTTCATAACAAGCATTTCAAACATTGGTTAAAGGTACACATTGCTGCCAAGTATAATGATGACAAAAATTCAATATCAGAAAGGATTAGATGCTTGTCCAAGGGTCTAAACATATGAGTCCTTTCTTATACTAGTTATGTAATCAATGGGTTTATATTTTACACTAAAGAATAGGATGAAAGAAGTACAATGCAAAAAAGTGGTGTAACTGTGATTGGTGAAGCAATATGTATATCTAGTACTAAAGACAAAAATCCCATGTATACATGAATATCATATTCTAAAGTTATTAAGCACATATAAGAGTTAGACTATAGCGAGTTTAAGATTTTGATTTTTGATTGTAAGTGGATTGATAATGAGAGTGGCCTTCACATGGACGATAATTCAGGGTTCATATAGGTGAATTTAAATATGCTAGGCTACAAGACTGAGCCTTTTATTTTTGCATCACAAGCTAGGAAAGTGTTTTATGTCATTGATCCTGTTTTATTGGGTTAGTCAATTGTGTTATTATCAAATAAAGAATGTAGAGAGGCCATCAATCCATTAGATATTACAATTGAGGATAAACTATTTAAAGGGTACTTGAATGTAATGTCATCAAAGATAGCACCTAACTATGTTAGAAGTGATCGCAAAGACAGTATTTGGATTTCAAAAGCGGGAAAAAGAATAAAAGACAAGATTGCAAAATTAAACCAAGATGCCAAGTTGAAAAAGGTTTAGAAGGCAACAAGGAAAAAAAAAAGACTAACTTAAATATGTGTTAGTTATTTATGCTATTCATGTGTCAACTAATTAATTTTGTTTATGACTTAGCTTGTGTGTTTTAGTTATCTATTTGTGTTTCAATCAATTAATTTTGTTTGTGACTTAGCTTGTATGCTTTAATTATTTATGCTATTTGTGTTTTAATCAATTAATTTTGTTTTTAACTTAGCTTGTATGCTTTATTTATTTATGCTATTTATGTTTCAATCAGTTAATTTTGTTTCTTACTTGTATGATAGGTAATGGCTTTGAAAAATAGCTCTAAAGAGATGGTAAAGTCACTTCTGTTACCATAACTCTTGTAAACCCTACTCTTACTATCACTACTCTAGTTGACATAGCTCTTACTGCCACTACTCCAGTTGACACTGAAACATCTCGAATTTCTAATAGTGCGTTAATGATTGAATAAGAATGAATTAGTGATTTAATGTGGGATTGGGGTTCTGAGTGGTGAAGTGTTATATTGACTCATTGAGATGTTATGTGAACAGATATGAGTAGAAAAACAGAGTCCCGAAGTAGAGCATGTGAGCATAGTAAGGATTTCCCTCATTATGCCACGTGTCGTGGCGGGGGATAGATACATCGCAGCATATGGAGTAGAAATTAGATTAATAGGGATGTGTTTGCTTGTGGAAATAAAAAGTGAGAGCATGAGAGAAGAGGTTTAGCATGGAGAAGAGTGGGAGAAGTGCCAGGGCAAGTATAATCAGGAGCAAGGATAGTGTTTCTGACTTGTTACTTATTAAGTAAGTCATATACAATCTTAACATCTAATTCTACCCTATTTTATCTTATTTTTAGCTAGTAAGAAATTGAATTCAAGATTTTTAAGAAGTTTATTTCTCACCCTCTAGTAATGGAAGAGGTTTTTTAGAACTAAACTAGTGCTTTATGACTGGTTTGAATCAAAAAAATAAAGCTTTGAAGCTATAGGCAAGATTTACCTTAATCTAGAGAGAGAATAGTGAGAGAAAATTGGCAAAAAGATGTTAAAGCTTGAGATGAAGGATAATTATTAGTAATATGTGTAATTGAGTGTGAAATGTATATTTAATAGCGATTAGGTGTGTTATTGTGATAATTGGAACTTTTTATCAATAGTGAAATTGACTCAAAATGCCAATTCTATATAGGTTCTAGTATGTG